CCACAGAGTTCCAGAAAATATATTTTAAACACTGCCCTGACTGTTTGAAAGTGTTATAGGTTTTTGTTTCTAAGAGGTAGTTGGTCAAATTTGAAAAACTGTGGAAACCAAAGAGGAAACTCTTGTTTCTAGGTCTACTCGCTGCATTCAGAGAGTTTGTTCATATTAACGGCAGGGCTCTGTAACTTATTACTGAACTACCTTTCACATTATTTTAAGATTTAAAGTTCGAACTTGTAACTTTTATTGTAGTCTTTCGGGAATAAGTTAGTTATTCAACTTAACCAACTTTTCTCTATGGTATCCACAATTAATATCGGTCACATTTCAAAATCCATATCTCACTAAGATATATGTTTTGTCCCGTTGAGTAACTAACATTTGTTAGAGTTATGATAAGCCCGGAGTTACAGTCTGTTGTTTCAGCTTTTCACAGCAAAATGCAAGTCGCTTTTCCAGGAGCAGACGGGAAAGAAAGGGGATGATAAAAGACTAGAGAACTCCACAATTCCCTCAATTGGGATACTTGGTGAAATTATGATTTGTCGTATGAATGCATATTTGTTTTTGAAGTAGATAGGATTGCATTGGCAGGTTCTTTTTCTTTAAAAAAACACAAATACCATATTTGATTCATTTGTACATTGTAAGTTGACACACAAAGACCCTGTTAAACACTGACTTCAACAAAGAAATACACTGGCACCATAACAGAAGTAAAACAGAGCAACTACTTGGATATAGCAAACAATGAGATCCATCTATTCAACAATCAACAAAAAATATCTGACAACAATATTCACAATATTCACAATATTCACACTGTTCACTTTGGAAATTGCAATAGGTTTTGACCACACGTGTCTACGAATTTAGGCAACCATGTCTGTTTTTTCGCCATAGGACAGATTTTTAAAAGGATCTCAAAGAAAAGAAAACATAATCAGCTTAAGTACATAAATTTTGCAAGCATACACACAAGTACAGTTTTTGTAAGAGGTCAATATTTTAGAACTCAAATAATAGAATTTGAGCACTTTTGTCAATACAGAAAATGCAGTTTATCCAGACATTGATGTGATATGTGTGAAAAAATAACAATAAATAAAAGAATGGAAGCCAAGACAACAGCCTTACAAAATAAAATAAAAACTAAACATCCCAATCAAAATTAAAACTTCAGAAAATTGTTTCAAAAGTTATGTACAATACATATATTTTCTTACATGTTCATTGCTACAAAAATAGAGTTTAAGTTGCAGGTTTAATAGTACTAGAAGCATAGATGACAGCACAGCACAACGTAATAGAAACTGGGGTAGCTTGTAACAATTCATTGATTATTTTTGGGACATAAAATCACAAGTTATGCTACCTAAACTTTTCTTGTAAAAATAATCTATGTACATTTCACATATGGCTTCTTTAAGACAAAGTAGTTCTGACTTCATAGCACCACTTAAATTAAAATAACCC